TAGCATGTGAAGTTTTATTTCACATCCATATGTTCAATAATCAATCGGAAGTAAAAGAATTACAACAACATGAATGAACCAGTTTCAAGTAGAGATTAATGTGAGGAAGATGATAAGACGGAAATAAATTCTAGTTTTACGAAATCTTTTCCTTGAAAATATGCTTTCTATTACCGTCTAAACGGTTTGGGCGGATAGAAGAATCAGTTTTCTTTGAATAGATTTATTAAGGTGAGGCTTGACTGTGGTCGTTAATTTATTGTTTTATTTCAGATTGGACATGTCTGGCTCAACACCATGTTCACCTGTCCTGGCTCTTGCGGAGGAGGATACCAACATGGAGATGAGATCTCCCCATATCCAGAAGGAGCCACCTCAATAACCGAGCGTAGAACATCAACTCCATCAACGTCCAATGTGAACAACGATGGCTCTCCAGCAAGCAGCGCGATGTCACCTCCATCCCCAGCAGCTCCTGGTACTGTACAGTTTGAAGATGGTGTTCCTTGTTTGCGGCGGAATGTGCATGCTGTGTCGGCTGAAACTGATCGTACAACACTGGGCTTCGAATTGAACGAACAACGAAAATCAAGCGAACCGATAACCCATCGTCGATCATTTCTTCCAAAGAGTGGGTTCGAACGTTCGTAGTGCACATATAAGGGAACGTCATGGAGCACTTTTGGGTGTTTCGAAAAGAGTGTTATTTACAATCATTTTTACACCATGAAACATACATGGATATGTTACTAAACCACAGTGCTATTCAATCTTTCCATTTTATTCCAATTTAAAATTATTTTTGAGTTTTGTAAGCATTTTGCAGCTGGAAAAGGAAAGTATCAGCTAATGTTTGCCTGGTGAACCCAGTGTTATTTTAAAACGTTTGATTTATCCTTTGTTGAGCTATCGTGATTAGAATAGTTGAGCAATTTTGTTATGCTTTTGTTTGAATGCTCATACATATGTGTGGATTACTACTATGTTAAGCTAAACATTTAGCTGGGCTGATATGTAGAGTTGTTTTCATTTCAGTGAATGTTCGAAAATCGCACAGCAGTGATCCACATATGACATCTGGGGAGTCGAAAGAAGTTATGGAAACACAAAAGAAGCGAAAAACGCAAAGTGCAAGTGCTCGCTGGGAAGCGACGAATCTGGAGGTGAGTGAATCGTTCAAATTTCTAGAAAGTCTTTGTGAGTCTGAATCATTGCTTTGCAGTTGAAATTACCGCCTGGTCTGGAGAAACACTGTCCATCATCTTCACTAGCTGACATTTACGGCGATCCCACTAAAGCGTGAGTATCCGCTAAATTCACTTTCTAAGATAAGGTTTTTTGATTGTTTTTAATCAATTCGAAATAAAATGTAAATTATGCGTAGATCTGAAAATAGAAAAATGGTGCACTATCCTTTTGAACTGTGGATTTATCATAAGCACATCCTCCGCCTTTGGTTACTGTAGAGATCTGATGTGATTTTCAATCATTAGTGCAGAGCATGTAGATGTGACAAATGTGAGAGGGCCCGAAATGCTCTCTAGTTTGTACCACTACTGCAATAATTTGAATATGTCCGCAGGAGGTAGGGTAATCGTTATGAGAGGAGTACTGTAGCATTCTTTTTGCTCGGGATAGAATCTAGTCTTTGAACCTAGTTCAGTTCATTGCAGAGTTCAGTTTTTCTCAAAATTTAATAATGCGAAAGAATTATTTTGACATCTCTGTCTGCAGTGTAATTATGTTATACAGCAAAAGGATTGTTCAGACCTCGTTATGGAATCGAAGAACTATTGCGAAATGCGCACACGTCTCACATTGTACGTGATTTTTACAACGAAAGACGCCGTGCTCTTCCAACGAGTAAGTCTCAATCCATGACTGTGTTTGATTTTGAAAGAATGTTGCATATAATTGCTATGAACAATGTGACAGCTAGTGAAGAACTGCATTAGTTTAGATACGATTGATGAAGATCTAGGTTTTTTAAACATTTCCGAGAGTCAGAATCACACTGGTCAGTTTTAGCCGAAATCGTTGGCTGCTCTTAATAAATGTATTCTCCTTTGTTTAGTAGTTTAGCATGTACATGGGACATCTTGCGGAACGTTTTACTTCTACGATTTTTCTTCTCTTCTAGATTCACTCACTCTTGTTCAGAGTTGCTTGATTAGATTAGTCTTTGGTTACTGTTAGGGTCGTTGTCTTTATTCGAACAAGAAAGTTTCCTTTTCCACTCTTAAAAAAGGACTGCTTAGGAGGTGAACCTGTTGAAGCAGCCCCAGAAGGCCGTCCTGAAGCTTCTGGTCCAGCGTTGATCCGAAGAAGGCTGGATGAACATGTACACGTGTTCCCACTGATCGAAGTCGATCGCGCTTTCAAAAACGAGAGCATGCCTCCTGGGTTTAAGGTTAGTCTTCGGCTTTATAGTTTTTAAATGTTTTTTTGGTGGTTTTCCTGAGATGTTTATAGAGGTGCTGCTTTTATAGGTTATCATTATAACCAGATGTATACACTCACAAGATCCTATAGCTCAAGAAAAAGCTGAAACAGCGCTCGCCGACGCACGTCGTGTGGCTGCAAAACACGAAGAGGAGAAGCAGAATAAGCATAAGAAGACTGTAAGTGGTTTTTATGTTTTCCGCTTCGCTTTTAGTTTATATGTGTAATTGCATTCTGTTAATAGCTCCCAAACTATGTTTATATGTGCGAGATATGTGTTTGTGGGTCCTTTTGTACCACACTGTTTTCCCGCCCATTTTCGTCGAATTAGGAGGGCTAAGGCTTATTGCTCGGCGAAAATGGGGAGTACTCCTCGCCAATTAGCGGCTCTGTTTTATTATAACCCATAAAGTACAAGGATTTATGAGGGATATCTCAAAGTTCGATTGCGAATTTTTGTTCAGATAAACTGTCCTCCTGCAAATGTTCCTATAGTTGGTGCGGGACCACTTCGTACAGCAACATCATGGCCGAAATGTCCTCTTCAAGTGGAGCAATCGTCCTCTTCGTCGCTGGTTTGTTGTCTATTGTCCTTCTTCTTGAGCCTGTACTTTTTAGATTTTCGTCTCCCATAGTATTCTAAGTGTAGTCTCTTTTCAGGGTACTAGTGTAGCATTTCCTGCCAAACCGGAGCAATGGGACCATACTGCCAGTAGCAGTAGTAGCAGTGTAAGCGACGTGAGCAGCTTTTAAGTTTGTTTTTCTACGACAATTTGACTTTGGTTTTATTTTCTGACATTTATCGTACACTGCACCCGTCGATTTAAAGTTTCTTTCTAAAGTCCAATTTATTGCAGTGTGCTGACGAAACAGACGAACGTGTTCTGCATATGTCGGGTTTGAAAGTTAGATGTGATGCGGGTATAGTTTTTGGCAATTCTACCGATACCCGTGAAAACGGCGCTATCGCTGGAGGGAACTCATCGGCGAGTGACTCAAGTGGTGATTTGACATCAGCGATGGATTCCACATGTGGAGACTCCCAACCAGGTGCATCTCCGCTGCCTTACCCTCAAGCAGTGGGAAAGATGTATCTAGGTGATAGTGACAGTGCTGTTACCAAATCACCGCGCGCTAAAAGGCCTCTATTCTCGTAGTTGTAAAAGTACTAACAGAAGTTTCCAAAAAACTAGTTGCTTATAGTTGTAGGCCGTTTTAAACGAATTTCTCTTTCTTCCTTTCGCTCCCCCTTCTTCCTTGGTGGTTCTTGGTCCGAGCTTACTTCTCCTCTTCCTATGTATATCATAACTTCCCCAATTTCTCTCACTTCCGTTTATCTATAAACTTTTGCTAGTCGACTTTCCTATTTCTTTTTGTATGCATTATACATAATATCATTCGGTTACACGTTGTTTGTTTCTTTTATTTCCCGTGTTCTTTCCAGATCACTAAGGTCTTAGTTGTTGCTTGTCTCTAATTATTTTTTTTT